TATAGGACACGAAATTTACAAGCACAGTCTCACAACTTTGAGGCCTTTCGATGAGGGAGAGGAAGGGAAGGAGGGGAGTAAAAAGACCAATTTTACACTATTAGTAAAGATTACAAATAAAATACCGAAAATACGTATATTTGAAAAGCATATTCTGCAAGCTTCCAAGAAAACGACGTAGCTTAGCTCGGTCACTGCTCTAATGGTACCTAAGAGGTGAAGGTGTTCTGGATTTACGTAAGCAGAAAAAGAAAATCAGTAATCATTTCGAAATACTTACTTAGATACTTATATATTTAGATGGCCTGTCTTCACTTATCGTGCAGGCCACAGCACTGTTTCCATCCGTTTCTGTCTATCGCTAGCCATCCACGATGTTGGTATTGAACTGCGGTGGCGACGTTCGCGAGGTCCTGATCCATTACTCGTTACCAGCTGAGATTTCAGCTAGTCCATCCGTGTAACGAAGACGTCGGCCCATCTGGTTGGTGGCCTCCCTCGAGGACGTTTTGCTTCGCGAGGAATCCATTCCAGAGTTCTTATTGTCCATCTGTCGTCTATCCTTCTCATTATATGACCAGCTATCGATGTTTTGCCTTAGAGACGCATTCCGCTGGATCGCGAAGACGAAACATTGATCTCATATCCAAACTGCGAAGTCCCACGAGATATTGAGTACGTCGGTTGTAGTTTGGAAGAGGTCGTTCTAGCGCTCTGTGGGTTGTTCGAAGAGCCTTTGATGTACACAATGTCAGGCCACGTCTCTGCTGCGTAGCGGAGCGCAGGGAGAACAGTTGAGAACAGGTGGGCTCGGAGCTCTGGGTCCGTCAGTTGGTCTGTGGCTTCCTTTGAGGCCCGAAGGCGGCCCAAGCTGCTCTTTGCCTTCTGTTTAATAATCCTTGAGATCGTTCTCCATGTTCATCGAACGCCCAAGATATATGTAAGAAGACGTCTCCGCCATTGGAAAACCTTTTAATTCCATTCTGCTTCCTTACTTCGTTTAATCGTCTCCGCTTCAGTAATATTTCTCAAGAAGAGAACAATGTCGTCCGCAAAACGAAGGTTCGAGAGGAATTCCCATCAGCTTGTATACCTCTCTCGTTCCAATTCAATGATTTCATC